ACTTTATATATTTTTAATAATAAATTAAGTAGTAAATAATAACTATAAGGAAAAAGTTAAACTAGCTAGTAGTATTAGGTAAAAAAGCTTATTAAAGATTTAGTTATATTTAAGGCTAGTTTTTTATTAAATAAACCTTTTATATTAAGCTATAAAGGTTTTAAATATAAAGCAGCCATAATAATAGCATGGCTCGATCTGACCAATCTTACCAGGACTATTATCGATGTTCTATGTCCTTTGGCTGCAGGTATTTGAGAAATTTTGAGCAGCTGCAGATACGTCAACGTCATCAAACATTTTCAGAAACAGCTAACAGGATGGAAGACAACCCACCTCAGCCACGATAGTACGTGATGCCTTTTTCTTTTTTAAGTCGGTTTGTGCTAATGACTTATCACTTCAGATTTGAGTTCTCATGCTTACGAAGACTTGACTATTGAATTCAACTATCTCCGGGCCTTCATGAATTCCTTTGGCATCCAAGCCGCCGTCGATGCCGATGTTCTCCAGTCATCTATCACGGCAACAGACTATTCCTTCATCAAAGAGGTTATCGACTCTTCATGCCAGGCTCTCGAGTCAGTCAACAGGCTATTCGAGGCTGGTACGCTCCGGTACTGTCCCGTCCGAGTATTTCTTCGCATCATCATGGCTTCCATCTTCCTTTTAAAAGCACTTAGTCTTGGAATCCGAACGACAGATCTAGAGACATCCCTTGGAATATTGGAGAGAAGTATACGGGCATTGAGGAATAGTAATCTCGACGAGATGCATCTAGCTTCTTGGTATGGAGAGTTACTGGATATGCATCTAGAGAGGTATAGGCAAAGTATGGTCCCAACTACGATTCCTCAAGGAATTCGTACAGTGGACCAAACCTCGCAATGGATATTCGACACCAGCGTGCCGCTAGTAAATGATGCACTTGGAGATTTGTCGATGCCAGCTGTGGATGACTGGCTTGCACTGCCATTTGATCCTAGCATGGCCCCGTTTGGCTTTGCTACTGATGACCCCGACATGGCCGAACCAGAATATAGATTATGGGATTTCTTATAGAGCTTACCAAATGTGTAATTTTATAATTTATTAACGACTTTAATATATTATAAATCGAGGAAAAACTATTAGGTCTTTAGTTTTTAAATTTATTATTACTAAGTAAAAGGATATTTAGTTATTATAATAATTATAATATTATAACCCCAGCGGTTACGTTACGTTACGTATTACCTATAAATTTTCTTACTAATTATCAGGAACTAATAACTCCTATCTTAGCCTATAACTAAAGTACTAATTAAACACAGACTAAGGATTTACTATTACAGTCTAGGACTAAACCCTAAACATCTTAGTCTTTAAACCTTAATATACTAATATATTATTTAGCTAGTATATAAAAATAATTATTTAGTATTAAATAGAACTTAGCTTACTAGCTATTAATAATACTTCTTTATATTAACTAAGCTTAATATATATTAATTTACTATTAAGAAATATAATACTTTAATAATACTTAGTATATACTTTATATAATCTGCTAATAATAAACCTAAGTATAGCTTAGTTTAATATAGTTAGACCTAACTATTATATATTAATAGCTTTTATTTAGACCGTACTGTATAATACTAAGTAATACTTATATAATAGCTATACCTATTAATCTCGTTTAGTAATAAGCTATTGCTAATAATAACCCTGTTTTTATTAATAATTATCTACTTATGGATTAGGATATAAATAATAAAAACTTATTAGATAGCTTTAAGAATTTAGAGGTTAAGAGACTTTATAACTAGCTTGCAGAAGTTACTAATAACCTTAATAGAATATACTAGTTTCTAGAAAAGATAGTTACTCTTTAGATAGCTTAAGCTAATACTAATTAAGTAAAATACTTAATAAAAGTAAATTTCTTAACTTAAAATAATACTTTTAAAATTACTTTTATTATAAGTTTTATTAAAACTATATAATAGCTAATTAATTAGTAGTTATTTATAATAAGATAACTAATTAGTAATAACTATAAGGGAAAAGTTAAATAGGCTAGTAATATTAAGTAGAAAAGTTTATTAAAGATGTAGTTATATTTAAAACTAGGTTTTTAGTTAAATTAAGCTCTTAAATTAAGCTATTTAGCTTTTAAACATAAAGGAAGCAAGGCCTTAGACTGTGGAATTTTCATTTGTCGCTTATTATAGACGACGAAGACAGGAGCAACATTTCTGTTATTTTTTATCGGAGCTGTGGAGATGTTATTGTGTGATAGCGAAATTTTGAGTGAGCACTGTGGCTAAATAGCCCCTTACTGGCAATCTAGGGCTTGGCCTACCAGTACGTTCGTTTGTATAATCTGATATTAGACAGATTGCTCGACTAGAATCCGCGGTAGGTGCATGGTGAACATCCACGCGATATTTCTATTCATCTCCTTACAAGTAGTGCGGAACGTGCAGGACCGATCGATCTGAGAAGCTGGGCACAGCCAGGCCTTTTGTGATCTTGAGCCAGGCGGGTTTGGCCTGCTACACTACGAGTTAGCTACTCGCGTGTAGTTGCATCTCTATACCTATGGCCTTGCATGAAATCTAGATTATATGTTCAAAAGGACACATCCGGAGCAGCCTATGGGTGTTTCAATGGCGAATAGTGATGCTTGAGAGGCAAAAAGAACGAGTTGGTTGATTATCACTACACTAGCCACATATCGCCGCTCCTCTTCTCAATAGAAAACCATACATCGAAGCTCAATACTTTGACGCTTTGGATCATCGGTTTTTGTCTTGGGATCTTCAAACGCGCTATGTGCACAACCTGGACGTACGTTGGTCAGACGTTTGACAGGGGCCTCCAAAATCGATGACAGAAAACTCACGGATGGATGTGATGGAGTCCGCGCTGAGCATAAGCAAAACTTCAGTGGATTCCTGTTGATCTAGGAAGTACCAAGCCTGATTAGGATTGTACCAAATCTCGTACGCCTGGATCTGGAGATGCGGAAGGACGATGTCAGACGCAACGATATCATCCTCATGTAGGTAGCGGGAGTCGCAAACAGCAAGCGGCATGCTTTTGACTGGGCCATTCAGAGGCCTCCAGATACTTTAAACTGTTAGTTTGGAGAGTGGCTGGATTGAGCGAACGATTCGAGACTACTTCACTATCTGCCAATGCTTCTCTAAAAGCTCTTCAGCCTGATCTTCACACTTCAGCTTGATTCTGCTGATAGCGCTCTCGCGGCTAATGTCTGACCAAGAAAGTTAGCCACTGTCGTTCTTTACTGCAATTCTCACAAATTACCTATATGTGCACCCAGAATCTGCTTCTTCACCTTTCTTGATACACCTTCGGGACGAGGCTGATTTTTCTCACGCTGGTGTCTGATCTTGGCAATGATCAGCCTCATGACCACCGATGATGACATTGAGCGCTAGGCAATATCTTACCACGTAGTCATAAACGATGACCTTTTCTGCATTCAAGTGTTGTCGAAGGAAGGTTCCCATCTCATTCATATAGTCATTTACCTGTGCATCTTGATTGACATCGAAATTCAGGGGATGGTCGACCCACTCAAATCCGTTCACATTGAGAGAAAACTGAGCCTTCTTCCCACGAGAATTATGGATGGAAGTCTTGACAGGAACTTGCATGATGTTCGTCCTCTTGATGCCTAGAGGTGGCCGGCTTGCGATCGAGTAGGGTTGTTGTTCATCGTATAATGGATCAGGTTTTAGATACTCAATTTCTGCTACGACAATGCTTCTGTCGCCAGCCATAATGCAATTGCTCTTGTGGAGCGGAGCTATCTCAGAAGGGGGGTCTTTAAATAGGTTAAGAGTTTGGCAAAGATTGATGGGATGTCAGCTTAACTCAGCGGACAGAACTTAGATGCCAAGACATTTGGAAACTGGAAAGGTGAAGAAAGGTGTAATTTTACACCAGTGCGTTAGCGTACCCATCACAAATGCCTCATGGTGACTCCTTTATGCAATTTCGGGGGGATTTTGCGAGGCACATGAAATGGGTGTGCACAAGAAGGTCAAGCGTTCTAACCCCTTTCGGTGGGCCAAAATGCGTATACATGTTGAATATTGCCACAGTAACAGTAACAGTCTAGCGAAGAGCTCGGGGATGTGTCTATTGGATTGTTGGTTGCATAGAGGACGAGATATGGCATTCAATTGTTCAATTTAAAGAGCGTATAGAGTCAAGAGATCGATCTAGTTTGCTATGCTTTCGGCATTCTGATGTTTGGGACACCTCCATCTCAAGCAAACCATCATACACTCATCCCAAATTCGGACAAGTTATTTACACCTTGCCGCCGTATCGGTGTCCCGGCATCACGGTTTCTACATCCCGCGTATCGATCAGAGAGTGGATGGAAATATGAAGATAAGACAACTCACGAATTAATCAAGTTTTGCCAGCGTCGGTGTCGTTGGGATCGTCTTCCCCACCAGATTTGCCATCAAGCCAAGGTTTGTCATGGGGAGAAGTGGTGGTGGGCAAGTCCTCGACCTGTGGAGCATAGGTTTCTTTCCATGGCTGGGCCTTTTTCACGTTCTGCTTCTTCTTGCGGGCCAGAACAGCTTGAAGGATGCTGTCCGCTGAGTTCTCACTAGATGAAGAGTATGCTTCTGCAGGCATCATTTTGGTATTTGACTGATTGGTGTTTGGTTATAGCCAGTCTTCTTGCAAAGGGGATGGAAAGAACTGCAGGAGGAAACTTAATGGAAAATTGGAAAGAGAAGAAGAAGGGGGAGTCGATTTGACCCGATAACTCGTCCCTTTTTGAGAAAACATAATGTGGGATTCCCCAACCAAGCAAAGGCAATCTCGATCATGGGTCAACCGCTGTGGCTTATGCGAAATTTGTTAATTAAAGGCTCACATGGTCGTGCTGACACCGGAAACTGACAGGTGGCATGGGAACACCGTATCTCAATGGTGGATGAAAGCCTCATGTTGCCTCTTTGCGACAGCTTGCAGAATCACAAATGTGGTTACACAACAGCTGGGGGCATACAGCGCATAAGAATATCTTTTAGCTAGCTGATTGGAAGACGGCAACTTTTTTCCTGGTCGGGGTGGTGGCGGGGAATCAATGCGCATTCGAACAAAACGGGGCTACATGCATGCTATACCTCCACGCTCCATCAACCAACGGAGGCATCCATGCAACGGACGTAATGATGCAATTCAGGCCAATTGATCAGTTGAAACAGTGATGGGCTGAAAAGTGCCTAGGTCACAAGGTCTATTGCATTTCAGCACAACGTATGTTACCGTCCCAGCCAGATAACAATACGAGTCAATCACACCCACCGACGCTGCCGCTACAAGCTGAGCTGACAGACCGGTGAGCCATCACGTCTTGGCGAAGCATCATGCGACTTGTCCAATCATTGAGGATCAACCATCAAGAAGATTCAAGCCATTCGATAGCAGCATTTTCTCACTGCAGGTTAGTGTCGCTGGTCTCACAGAACAACCTTGTTTGTTGAAGGACATCGTGTCTAGACTGAGACGTGTGGATAATCATTTCCCTTTACAGCTCTGTACTCGCACTGTGGTATCTGCGGGGCTCATCCAAGGAGGCCGCTTTAGACGAGGCTCTGCGGTTAACTTGACAAATTAATCCGCTCACTCGCTGAGATCAATAAAGCGTCATTACATGTCACAGTCATTGCTCCAACAGTCGAAGGGAAACGAAAAATACTGGTAAATTCTCACCGAAAAACCGCATTGAAGATGGCGCCAAATGAGGATAGTATTTATGCTGCGTCTCATGCCCCTATTTGTGTCATACCAAGTAGAGAGGCATTTGATGGGCTTAAAGAAGGCGAAAGACGATATGCTCACCACATGTGCAGAGCAGCTTTCCATGGCTTCCGGATCATCCTGGAGCAAACCTCGACAGAGTCTCCATCAATCTTTGATCTTTTGATGCTGCTCTATGATACTGCCAAGGGTGACCTGGCTGGCTTAGCTCGTCAACAGAATGTCAGTGACCAGGATTTCGATCATTTCTTGGACTACACCACCATGTTTCTGGCAAACATGGGCAACTATCACGTAACTAAGCCATACTACGCTTTCATTGGAGCTCTCTGGAACTAACAGCAACACAGTCTACTGGTGACGAGAAGTTCATTCCTCACATTCCAAAGGCCTCCTTTGCGAAATTATGCCAGTGTCGACCTGAAACCGAGGAACTTTTTACCGAGGTCGCCACAGCCATGTACTCAGTGGTTCGCCACAGGTATGGATACTCGGTGGTCCCTGAATGTGCAAGCGGCTTCTACCCTGGAAGTGAACCCATTGCGAAGGAGGAAGTTGATTCCGTTCATCGTTTTATGCAAAGCAATCAAATTTTGCCTGAGAACACACGCCTTTTCAAAACTACTTCCGAACCCGGACCCAACTCTGTCTCCTACGAACTCCGTCTAGCCTCAGCAGAGCCTGGTTGGAAGCCAACGCTCCAGAACGACGGTCGCCTTGATCTGCCTGGGCAACCCCTTCTCTCCATAAGGTCAGGTGACTTCGCGCAGCCTCTAGCCAGAATCATAGCTGAACTTCAACTGGCGAAGCCGCACAGTGAGAATGAAACCCAGAAGCAGATGATCTCTGCGCTAATCGATTGCTTTACCACCGGCAATCACGAACAGTTTAAAGAAGCTCAAAAACATTGGGTTCATGATCACTCCCCGGCAGTTGAAACCGTCATTGGTTTCATCGAAACATACCAGGACCCCCATGGAATTCGGGGTTCTTGGGAAGGTATTGTGGCAGTCGTGAACAAAGAACAGAGCCGTAAGTTTGGTGAACTTGTGAAACGTTCTTCCGAGTTCTTGGTCTCCCTTCCATGGAATGCCAATGAGGTCCAAGGAACAACAGGCGCATTTGAGGTTTCTGAGTTCGTGAAGCCAGACTTTACAAGTCTAGACAGTAAGCAGAAGCGTTCGATTTCTGTCGCTTTCCATTGCTAACAACGCATGACAGCTCTTGGATTTACCAAATCTGAGAGCCCTGCAGGACTCAATCTTCCTAATGTGAGTTTATTTAGCCATGCCATGTTCTCTGTTTCCCGCGCGAAAAGATCATTTAGCTGACACTCCAGTGATTAAAGTTTGAAGACATCTGCCAGAATGTTGGATCCAAGAACCTGGAATTTGGAAACGTCAACAACGCGAACCCACCGGATGAGGCAATCCCTTTCATCCAGGATAGTGACATGGAGCTTCTCCGTAAGCATCGCGAGAGGGCCTTCGAGGTCACAGTAGCCTGCCATGAGCTCTTGGGGCATGGGTCTGGAAGACTCTTCATCGAGACAAGCGAAGGAGAATTCAACTTTGATAACAGCAGCCCACCCATAAATCCTCTCACCAAACTTCCGATAAGCTCTTGGTATAGGCCTGGAGAGACTTGGTCTAGCGTCTTCGGATCTCATGCCAACGCCATTGAGGAATGCAGGGCAGATGGGGTGGCATTACTCCTTCTTAACAATAGAGACATTCTCGAAATCTTTGGGTACACCGAAGAGTCCGAGTATCGTGCCGATGACAGTATGTATAGCTTGCCACTCCTGTCGCTCAGACACCTCTTCATCATCTGACTGTTGAACCTCAGTCACATATGCCGGGTACCTGAACTTTATCTACGGTACACTCAAGGGACTACCACGATGGAATCCGGAAACAAAGGTACGCCTAGTCCTCTCTCGAAAACTTTCCCTACTGACCCTAATTCCAGACCTGGGGACAATCTCACCGTCGGGTAGGTGATCCTACAATGGTGAAATCGCTTGACGACGTTCTAACTTGCTCCGCAGGGAAAGTTTGCGCTTCTTAGATGTATGATGAATGCAGGCTCACAAGCACTGCAAATTATCGAAGACGGTGATGACATCCATGTGGTTTTGGATCGCTCCAAGATTGAAAGCCATGTAGTGCCGGAACTATCAAAGTTTCTTCTACATCTGCAGGTTTACAAAGCAACCGCAAATGTGTCTGAGGGTGTTAGCTTCTTCAATCTGTACAGTGAAGTGGATGAGAGATTCGCTGGCTATCGGCCTATTGTGCTGGCTAAGGAGCCGCCGCGGATTCAGTACATCCAAGCCAACACCTTCTTGCAAGATGATAATGTTTTACTGAAGGAGTACCCATCTACTCGAGAGGGTTTGATTCAAAGTTGGGCAGAAAGGGATCTGTTGTAGAGGGCCTTGCCTGAAGATCGGCCAGCCTGAATCAAGTCTAGTTATCACGGGTTCATGTGCATCGATCCTTGTTCCTCTGAAACACAAACGCCCGCCTATCGGCCCGCATCACATGTCAATTCAATAGCCAGTAGAATACAATAGGTGTCTCCTCTCGCCCCCTAATTTGGACCTTGATATCTACCTTCAGATTTTATAGAGCGTCTCTAAGAAAATGTAGATATATTCGTATTGTTTTTCAGGACTTGGGGTGTCTTCCAGCCGCCCAAACCAATAATTGACTGGTCTATCTTCACTTTAGTTTTCTCTTGAGAAACTTCACTGTTGCCCGGCATAGCGAATTCATTTAAGTCATTTGCTGAGATATAAAGCTATGATCCTGGAATAGCAAGATGTTACATCAATCTTAACAGTCGCCTCTCTATAGCTTTGCGTCATCTTGGCCAACCGCATCCTTCTCTGCGCCGTTGTGCTGCGTACCGACATTACGGTTGCTGTCGCCTGACAACTCATTTCTGGCGAGATTGACTGGCCTCACTATCAGATAATCCTTGTTTCGCTTCGCAACCTGGGTTGCTTGTTCAAACGCATATGCACAGGCAATCAAAGTCTGTTCGCTGAACCTGCGCCCGGTAAATGTCACAGCGAACCTGGAGGATTATTAGCATTTATGACGACACGTCTGGATCGGCTGTGGCTTACGGAATGTTGGGACCTTTCGTGATGAAGCCTTTGGAATTCCGAAGTGCCTCTCGGCTGGCGGAATAAAAGCCAAGTGGGACAGAAATACCAGGCAATCGACCAAGGTCAAGCGGTAGATCGGTGGATGATGATGCCAAAAGGACATCGCAATCATTCTCATCCAGAATCTGTGGGATTTCTGCACCAAACGCTTCCATTTTCGCGTTGACTTCCTTGAATCGATCCGAGTCTGAATCGACAGGTGCATCCCTAGCACTCTCAAACCAGGATGCCCCAAAGTCTTCATATCGTTCCAATGGCTCACTCTTGATAAACTCAATAAGATCCGAAATACTACGGATGCCATGAGGGTTGACCTTCAAACTCTTGAAAAAGGATTCGTAGGCTAAACATGGTGATATATCAGTACCCAGAGCTTTGACGCATCCCGTCAGCAGCATACATACCTTCACGTAACATGACGTCTCCAGGAAGATCGTCCCTCAACTTTCCGTTAGGCTTCCACGTCTTGAAGTCGACACCATCTACTACCGTCGCTCCGAGGGATTTGATTGTGTCAATCGCGGCGCGGAAAGCTGTCCCAACCTCTGGGTCTGAGTCGACAACTTTGTAGACAGAGAGTGGTACCTGACTACGTCAGCACAGAGGTTTTATCTACTATGCTATATCACACGTACCAACACACGAACACCCTGCAAGCCCGACTTTTGGCATGACGACACATAGTCTGGAGTTCCCTCATCAAAGGGGATATCCTTTGTCGCCGGGTCGCCATCGTCCTTTCCTGCAAGATCGTTTGTCAAAAGGGTTGTTTATGGCAATACTTGAGAGGCAACAAATACCTGCTATTACTTGCAAAATGATTGCGCTATCTTTTACGCTGCCAGTCAAGGGACCAATCGAGTCTTGTTCGGGATTGATCGGGATTGTACCAGCCCTTGAGGTAAGACCAACTGTTGGCTTAAGCCCGACAACCCCGTTTCTCTGTGCCGGGTAGAGAATACTGCCGCATGTCTAAGATTATTAGTAAATGTGATGACCTGGTGTCTTGGGCATTGCATTATCGATCCTTACCTCGCCTCCAAGAGCTGCACTGACCATGTTCAGTGAAAGGGCTATGGCGCTACCAGATGAAGAGCCTTGGGGGTCTTGATCAACGTGGAAGCCTCCCAATGCTTGTCCGAAAAGAGAGCTCCATCCGCTGGCACATTTGGGGGATCGAGCCATGCCCCATTGGCTAAGATTTGCCTTACCCAGTATGATGGCGCCAGCAGCTCGGAGCTTGGAGACAACAAATGCCTCTTGGGTATACTTGGCTCGAACTAGCGCAAATGAGCCAGCTGCGACTTGTTAGCTTTCCATGCACTTATGAAGGAAAGTGCTGCGGTAACTGACCTGTGGTGTCCATGCTGTCAGTTGTCACAATGGTGTCCTTGAGTAAAATTGGTACACCATGCAGTTTCCTTTTTAGCCAGTCAGTCTTTTGGATTTATCGCACAAGTTCACCAAGTATTTACCCAGTGAGCTGTCCAGATGACCTTTCGTGATCTTTCTGGATTGCGATGGCTTTGACGTCGGGGTTGATACAGGCAATCGCCCGCACCTGGTCGTTGAAGCGTTCAATATTCTCCAAGTAAGCCTATCGGTGTCAGAGGTTTTCGTTCAGCTAGGAATGGGTGATATCTCTCACATCCACGAGAGCCTGGCTGGAGAAATCGCCATTATTGAGTCCATCTATGACTCCTTGGAGATCAAGACCCTCTATGTCAGGGCGAGAGAGCTTCGCGGACATATTCATTATCTTTGGCGATTTGGATTGCCGTGTTAGGGTTAGGTGAAGCGTTGCTAAGAATGCGGGAATGATCCACACGAGCGATTTGCGTTGGAGGAAATATCGCTCCATAAGCTTAGAATGTATATTGCGTGAGGGTAAGAAGCAGAAGACAACGAAAAACAAAGGGTCGGAGGGAGGCTTGGGCAATGATCCGATGGTGGTAAGCCTGATGGTGCGGGGAAGGTGACACGAGCCCTGGCCTCAAGAAAACGAACAAAAGAAAACAAGAAAACGCAAATTCTTAAAGCGGCGTGATGCATTCCGTACGGTGTGGCTTGTCTGACATGCATGCTTTGTCACCGCTGACCGGCCACGCCACGGGGGGGCCTCATTGTGATCAGGCGTGATTGACAAACAGTGGCTTGCATCATCCGGCAACAGTGCAGCCATCTCAGTTCAGTCTGTGTACCATCCCATCACTATTGATTATCGAGGGAATGTAGAGTTGCACAGTTAAAAGCCGAACCTGCACTGACTGTGTAAATGTACCATATCACTTGGGTTAGTCAAAGTGACAGCCTGATCCCAAGGACGCACAGTGTCTATCTGCCAGGGCCCACCTTTTCAACTGTTGCCTTACTGGGAAGCTTGGTTTGCATCGCAGGGTCATAGTCATATGTATATATTTGAGGCTCCTAGTCTGGTCAGACCTGATACAGCATCCATCTCAACTCGCACACCGTAACTGAAAAGCCCTGGCCAATAGCAACATCGCACAATCCTATTCCAATTATTACTGTACCATTTTCAAATCTCTCGCGTCATGGGGGAAAGGCAAGTAGGTATCATGGTGTTGAGCCCTGAGGGGGATGACGACTCCAATGGAGGTTCAAGCGATATCAATGTTGAGTACGTTATGTCACAAAAAGATACTCTTGACACCGGTCAAACAATAGCTAACATCTATCCGAACAGTATCCTGTTCGTCCATGGGCTCGATGGCGATCGTGTAGGCTCATGGACAGCCGAAGGTCCAAAGATGTGTTTTTGGCCCAAAGATCTCTTGCCCAGATATTTTCCTAAAGCTCGTATCATGACGTTCGGGTACAATGCCAATGTTATCTTGAATACCGTTGAGGGCCGCATAGCTGAGTTTGCTAACAACTTGATTGCGGAACTTTCAGCTCGGAGATGTGGAGAAGTACGTTCTCCAAACAACTAGAAAATTCTTCATGCACTAATCTTGTACCACAGGTCAAAAGCAGGCCCTTGATATTTGTTTGTCACAGCATGGGAGGTATTGTTGTAAAACGTGTAAGCGACATCTGTATTCCCTCATAACCCCCTGCTTCTAGTAAGTTGACAGAAGTTACCAGGCTTTAGCTGCAGCCAGCAACCGTCTGGCTCATAGTGGTATTAGCGAATCATGTCATTCTATTATTTTCATGGCTACTCCACACAGAGGAAGCAGCAAGGCCGCATATATGGACCTGGCTACAAAGCTGGTCAATGTTCTCAGCGGCCGTGTTACTACAAAAGCCATAAAAGAGATCACGTTATTCTCGGATGTTTTGGATGATATTAACTCCTCATTCGTTGATATCTCGTGGAAATATCAAATCGTGAGTTTCTTTGAGAAAGAGCCTACTGGGAATTTAGGAATGGTAAGCACGAACCCTTATAACTATTCGAGATTAATTATCTAATGGCTTGATACCCCTAGATTGTCGAGAAGTTCTCCGCCGTAATGGAAGTTCCGGCAGAGATAAACCAGATTGCTTGCACGGCGAATCACAGAACGATTTGCCGCTTCCACGATTCAGGTTCGGCTGATTTCACCACCTTTCGTCTTCAATTGCAGTCTTTGGTGTCCAGTGCAACGGGTAATTATTAATTGAATCCTTTTTATTAGAAGCAATTAGTAATGGAATATTTTGTGAAAAGAGCGGACTATTATAACCAAGAAACGCACGTACTCCGGAGTGCCTGATGAAGACCATTCACAAAGGCCCTCAAAGTCAGCTTGTGACGATCAAATTCGAGCAAATCCTATACTATGGCGGATCCCTCCATTCTCTGGACGAACATACTTCAATCGAGGTGCATATAATCACGGATATTGGAAGTGCAACTTACTGATACTTTCTTTAGACGAAGCGATGTCATCTCTTCTGGACGCTATGAGCTCTGATAGTGATCGATCTTTTGCAATTTCTGGTCTCGGCGGACTAGGCAAGACACAATTAGTCCTAAAGTTTATACACACTTATTGTCAGAAACTTGGTTACTCACATGTTTTATGGGCGACCGCCGAGGACAGCAATAAGTTAGCAAATGCGTTCCGAGATATGGCCGTTGAACTAGGTGTTGTTGAGCAATCGGTCATAGACGACGACAGATGTCGGCAGGCCATGCGAGATTGGTTCACCAACCACAAGCGATGGCTCTTAATCTTGGACAATGCAGACAAGCCCAGAATTCTGGTGGATTATATCCCCTATCCATTACATGGGTCAGTTATCCTGACTTCTCGTGACGGCGGAATACAGCGCAAGGAATATGCAGCATCGGGGCTGAAGTTACCCCCACTAACGGATGCTGACGGCGCTTCATTCCTTTTGAAAGCCTTACGCGACCACCCTGATGCGCCTGAACTTGACGAAGGGGACGTAACCATTCGCAACCTCGCGGCTGAGATCTCAAGAGAACTTGGCGGCCATCCTCTCGCATTGACGACTATAGCCGCTTACATCAATAACTGCGACAGTTCTCTGGCGGAATTCCTAGCCAATTTTCGCCAGAATCGTGGAGAGATTTTTGAAAAGACCGCCCCATACAATCTGGAGCCCGAACCTTATTATAAGCAAACACTTGCTACGTGTTGGTCTATGACTTTGCGACCATTACACTTGGATAAGGGTGCAGGTGCTGTTCTTGGAATCCTTGCCTTGCTTGACCCTGACAAAATCAACATGGACATACTTGCAGATTATGCAAGTGACAAAAGAGCTTCTAGAATATCGGCCTTGGAAAATCCTTCCACTTATCGAAGTGGTTACATTATTTTGCGCAAGAGAGCTTTTGTATATCAAGGAGCAACAGGGTTCACGGTTCATCGATTGGTCCAAGAAGCATGGATTTCGGAGCTGAATGAGAGACACATGCTCTGGGAGGCGTTCGACGATGCTGTTAGATGCATCGCTCGTATATACCCCCGACAAGTTAATGGCGAATCAATGAGCAATGACTTCGACGACTGCCGCAAGCTGACCTCTCATGTTATCTCTCTAGAAAAGCATTTCCAGAAGCATTTCAAGCAACTTTTCGATTCGTCAACGACATCAGAGCATATGCCAAAGTCTGGTGAGAGATTCGCTCAGCTTCTCGCTGACGCAGGGTGGTTTCTGTACGAGGCTGGCCAGTGGGAAAGCGGAAAAGCCTTCTTCGAGACTGGAATAAGCATCTGCGACAAGGTCTTTGCCATGAAGCCTACAAAGCTCACGGCCGTCCTTTACAATAACCTTGGAGTGATATATGATTCCCAGCACAAGCCTGATGAATCTCTAGCCAACGCTATGAAGGCTTTGAAGATACGAGAAGAATGCTTGCCCGCTGGCGACCCTGAGATGGGGAACTCGTATTCAAATATTGGGCATTCATTTATTGACAAAGGTGATTATGTACAGGCGCAGAAGCACTACCTAGATGCCATTCAAGTTCACGAGAAATGCGAGACACCGTCGCACGATTTGCTTGAGGGTGCATATTCCTGCATGGGTAAAAGCATGCTCTATCTTGATCGCCTGGATGAGGCCGAGTTCTGGATCCAGAAAGCAATGCACTATCATGAGCACTTCAAGCCGGCGAACTTCTTCGTCGCCGAAACACTGTTCGCAATGGGCTCTTTGAGGATGAAGCAGAAGCGGTGGGGTGAGGCTGAAGAGCTGATTCAAGAGAGTCTGTCTATCCGCACCAGGATTCTGGGGAAGAATGCTAGGCTTGTAGGCGTATGCCTTCACCATCTTGGGTTCATCAAAGACCATATAGGTGAACTCGACATGGCAGAGACGTATTTCAGGCGAGCTATTGACATCTTTTCAGTGTCATCGGAGAAACAGACCGGTCTGCTTGAGCGGTCAATGATTCGTTTAGTACAGGTTCTAGAGCATGGTGCGGAGGCCAATTCGGAGGAGGTGAGCCACCTCCGCGAGGAGATTTCCAAGAGCGCAAAGCTTGACAAATTGACGCAGGAACTTGAAGCATATGATGACATTGGATGGGAGGGCGTAGTCCAGGTTGCTTATCGCTGTTATAAATAAGCTTACTATTAGTTATATATAGTAATTAAAAGTAACTTTTTAAAAGTATTATTAATTAATATTACTATAAAGAAAATTAATATTATTTTATAACTTATATAGGTATAACTATTATATAGCCCTTATAAGTCTTATTAATTAAAATAAAACTATTTTATTATCTTTTTATTTAATTACTAAGATTATAATTTTTTAAAGTTAAATTACTATAAATAATAGCCTAAATATCTAGCTAGTTGCTAGTTACTAAGCAGCGCTTTTGCATTAGACCGGGTCAACTACCAGTCAATGGACTCAACTCTTTATAGATGTAGATTCTTCCTATTCTTCATCGTCTTCATCCTGGACCACCTTCCATCCATTTTTGGCCGAAATATCGCAGGAGTTCGCATATATAAGGTAGTTTCCGATTACGTTGTCAGACGCCTTGAGCTTAAAATGAGCGAGATGCATTATATTTAATAGCATAATTATTGTGATTTATATTGGTTACGGGAAAAGTAGAGTTTATTCTGCCTGAGAGAAAGATTGAGATAGAAAGCTAATATTTTATTATGCCAAGTAGCTTAGATCTATCCTACGAAATATTGAATTTTGTCTACCTCAAAAACGAAAGGCCTTGACCCAAACGATAAAAGTATTTAGATAACTTCGGTCCGAGCTATTATACTAGCATCCTCGTTGGTATGATTAGGCCTTCTTACTCCGTGAGGCCTGCTGAATGAAATGAACCAGGAAAGTTAAATATTTAGTGGTCATGAAGTTGAGGCTTCAGGCTGAGAGCTGAAATCAGCAGACAGAACTTGGCAAGTTAGTTAGCTATCGTGAAAGCTTCTAGGTAAAAGCTTGTATTGACGGAAAGAAATATGGTGTTCTCCTTTGGCACCCACATTCGCAGTTCGAAGCTTGACCTTATACGCAGCAGATAACTACACAGTTCAAATATGTGGGCTATTCTCAATAAATGAATTGTAAATCCAAAATGGGAGTCTTGACTACATGTGACTTGACCAAACTTATGACCAGGTGAATGACAGTCTCTCGAGACCTGGAATGAAAGTCTTTTCTACTTAAGACGAATCGGGTGACAGGTCTACACGATCTTCCCATCCATCTCCTTGGAGGTATCGTCACGAGACCTATGGCGTCGCCAGCTGAACAGAACATGCGGCTTAGTCTTGATAGTTTCCCTCATCTTCTCCTCACTACCGTCCATCCAAGTTTTGCCCGGCGCGACGCTGACAGGATATAGCGGTGTTCCATTGAGCAAGAAATGGTCAGCAACACGGCGATCGAATGAAGCGGTGATGTCAAGGTCGGTTGCAATCTGATCGCAGAAAGTCTCTAGCGGCAAGTCGTTGACATCACGGCCAAAGGGATTCTCGATCTCTTGTCCAATGAACAATAGACCAAAGATGATGTATGCCGCAGTAATGGTGGCTGGGATAGCTATCCAGCCAAGAGGGCCAGTCAACTGGAACGGCAACAGCATAACATACACAAACGTGATCTGACTAATGGCGATAGTGTATGCGATCGGCAATGGGGTATTGAGCACTCGATCACACCCGACTGCTACGTCATTAAGCATAGTGATGTGATTATACGCGACAGTCTGGTGGATAGCGACGGGCAGCTGCTTGTTTGCGACGAGACAGTCGACAGAAATGGCCAGGTGGTTCAGTATCTCTAGCGGGAGATTTCCTTGGTGCTCTTCGGCTCTCTTGAGGTGCTTGCGCGGATCACTCTGGGCGAATGAGAGACCCAGATACTCACCAGCCTGTTTGAAGTTGGTAAGTCTTCGCTTCGGCACGGCTGTTGTACGTCCAGAGAATGTGTCAAGGTGAGCTATGTACGGCTGCATATCAGGTTGACTCGCACAATGCTCAAAGCGAAGCGTATGCTTCAGTGCAACAGCAAACCCAGCGATGAGCTTCAGCGCTCCAAGCTTCTTGACAAGCAGCTCACGAGTATCTTGGCCATCAGCACCAGTGTCCGCTGCATGGATCCAGATGATTCGCCCAAGGGTTTGCGAAGCGGTAGCCAACATTCCCCAGTATCGACGACCCTCAGCGTAGCGCTCGTAAGCAGTTGATGATCGAAAGGAGAGACTGAGACCGACGACGAAACCGAGGATGGTGAGAAGAACAGAGTTGACGCTGAGATCATGAACTTTTTTGGAGATAACGGTGATAGCGGTGGACCAGCATGCGACGAGGAAAAGAGGGATGATGAGTGATGGCATGATTGAGCCGTGGAGTTGAAGAATGAGTGGCCATTTGGAATGACCGCGGAGATCTCTGGGGCCGCTGAAGTAGTAGCTATCATTCATGTCGTCATGTACTGGAGGCGAAGGCGACGGTAAGTACTCCTGGTTCGGCGCAGTATCAAGGCCAGAGAAATTCTCCCTAGCCTGGACCTCGGGGAGTGGCTTCATCTCCACTGGAGTATCTCGACCTGCGTCCGACATGGTGAAAACGAATCACGCAAGCAACAAGAGCGAATGATGCCTATAGATAAAAAGATATAACAGAATGGAGTCCTACAAAGTGAGGACCTGGCTAGGTTTTATAAAAAAGGTCAGGTTTCACCATAAAAGATGAAGCTTCCCAAAATGGCTTCATATTTCGAGCTGAACCTTTAGTGCTGATGGGACTTCTGATGGTCCGACATTAGTGCTGAGAATATTGGCGTTTGCCAACAAGCTTTGGCATAAGCATTCGCCAAGGCGGTCTGGCCCGCATATAAGCTTGAGAATTGATGCTTAATTTGGTAGTGGTCTGTTTGGAGTTGGCCGGGGAATTGTCGTGTGTCGCTGACTTGGTGTTTTCAGCTTCTAAGTTTAGCATGACTTCCTGAAACGCTTAAAGAGGTTATCATTTTGCTTAACATTTTGAGAGTCAATATTGTGTTGTCCATTCTGTTACTCGCTACCCTCGCCTCACTGTCTCACCACCGTCAGAACTTCCCTCGACCATTTCTAGCCCGCAACAACATCAAGCCCCTTCAGCAGCACGTTGCACCTTAAATCGAAGTGGCCTCTTGGACTTCAATGTCAAGCTCGGGTTTCTGAACTCCACCTCATGATCTCCAATACTCTCGATCTTAAAGTCTCTAATCAACCCAACCAACAAAACTTTCATATTCAGCAAAGCCAACGATTTTCCGGGACACATACGAGGCCCGTTCGAGAAGGTCTCCATAGCATATGGGCTCAAAGCATCACCAGAAAGACGTTCCCATCGATCAGGATTGAAGGCTTCTACATCGGGACCCCAGATCTCGGGGTTCAGCTGCGTCATTGCTGGAACGAGCTGGACAGTTGTCCCTTTTGGGATGCTGACGCCTGCTATCTCGATATCCTCAAGTGCTTCCCATGGTATCATTAGAGTAGGGGAGTACACGCGTAGAGCTTCTCGAATGACGTTATCGAGGTACGGCAGTTCGTCTATCGACTTGGCAGTCATGTCATCAGCACTGAGAGTAAGTATCTCAGTCCTTAAACGTTCCTGTGATTTCTCAACTTTGGAAAGGGCGTAGGTTGTCCAGAGAAGGGCACTAGCTGTAGTCTCGTGTCCTGCCGCGATGACCTGCATGGTCTGCGACTCTGGTCAGTGATATATGGATAGATGTCGGGGTAGTTACGCACTATGTCGATCAACTCATCTCGAGACAATTTCTGGTTCTCAACAGAACTTGCTTCGATCATCCTCGTCAACAAATCATCCGATAGTCCACTGTCTGTACCCAACTCCTTGGCTTTTGCTACCTCAGATGTCCGCTGCTCAATTAGTTCTGTCATCATGCCCTTGAGAGCGGATTTGGCCTTGATAAAGTTCAGATTTGCGGATACAGGTAGCCAACGCAGTGGGATGAAGGGGTTGATGAAGCTTATGATCTGACCAGCAAGTGGCTGTGCCAAGATACCATTGTAGCATTGCTCAAATGATAAAGGCGAGGTCTTTGAGCTAAAGTCTCGAAGTTCTTTGCCAACAAGCGAGACACCGATGATGTCAAGTGTCACCCTTGTAAACAAGTCATCGACTAAAATAGCATTGTCAGCTCTTGACAAAGAGGTAAATTCACTCGGTGTATACGAACTTTCCAAGACGCCGTTACTGCTTTGTTGGATCGCAGCTTCAATATCGCTGTTCAACTTGCGAGAGTACGACACGAACGTCGGAAATAGCTTCCGAATACTCGGGCGAGATAGAGGTCCTATAACAATTAGTATTCATGATCATGATGCATGAAGGGAAAAAAGGGTCTTGCCTGCAGTAATGCGCCTCAACCGCTTGTGCTGGTCACCAACGCTGAAAAGCAGACCGACGCCCAGAAACTCTCCGACAAGCGTATGGAAGAACCCAGGTTTCGCGAAGCGGTAAGCATTCGTCTGGAGGACTTCGTGACAAGCTTCTATGTTGTTAACGAGGAGAACCTCTGAGTTAAGCCAGGAAAGACATCGTATAAACGGTGCATTCGGCCAACGCCGCATCCACTGGAGATAGAGCTCATTTGGTCCGGATCCACGCAGAATGCGCAAGGCATGGCCGACTAAGAAATGGTGGTTCTTGTCAAGTTAGTATACTCAAGACATTACAAGCATCTAGTACATATTAAGTGAGGGAAGACTCACTGTCGGTCCTGGAAGATGCCGTAGCTCTGAGAAGGATGGTCGGAGTATGGTCATGATGATGAAGTGCAGGCAAACGGCAAGGATACCTAGAGTTGCCACTCGGACCAGCGAAAGGTTCAATAGCCACATTTTCGCTCAGCATCAAAGAAACATAACTTGAGGTTCTCCTTGTTTGTGTTTTGTGATTATGATTTTGCACTTCTCAAGCTGACTAATTTCTGACTGCTGATTTACCGCATATCGATGTAACTCGGCGGCCGCTCTTCTGATGGTAAGCCCGCTTTTGGATGCTGGAATAGCCAATTGAGGGCTTTTGACGAATCTACGCTCGGGATCTACAAATAGCTGCATACGAAACCCTCCAAAAGTAAGCGCTATAGCCATGCGACTTTGTTCACATGAGCGAGACTTTAGATGACCATATCCCGAAATCTTTTGGAGGCTCCTGGGCATTAATGAAGATATCGAGACAAGCGTCTTAAGATCTTATTTAGGCGGAAAATAAGAAGGTATTCTGTACAAAATTGGGGCTCGTACTGGAAGAACCATGTTCGTGTTTGTGTTAGATTCTTGGCGCAGGATGATGAAGAGAAGGCAGTTGTCAGAAAGTAAGTCAACGAATCCCATCTCCCAATTAAACACCTCCAGCTCACACAACAGACTCGACATATACCTCTCGCCTCTTCTCGGCTTCTACGCCGTGCCCTAACTGATGAAATATTTGTTAGAGCCAGCGACTCCAACTTTACATATCGGTACATGCATTGACAGTTGTCCCAAGTATATGGCATTATTTTACAAGCCTAGCTTCTTTGTTGCCTCAAGTTGAGGACGAATCATGATACAGAATCATGGCTACTATCAGTGGCTTATTATTCCCCAAACCTAAAAACTTCAGTGGAGAAACCGGCCCAAACTCACCGTTCCTAACCGCAAAAGGCCGCTCCAAGCATTAACCTCCAATGAACTTATGAAGAAGCCCCTCCAGCCCCTCTCCACCTCCGACTCTCAAATGCCGGTCCCGGCTTCGCTCCAGATCCAAGCCCTGTCAAGCTGAGCATCTGCACACCGAGACAAGATCATCATGGACTCACCTCACCCAGACGAAAAGAACACCACTCTAACCGAACAAGAACGAAAGTACATCTCCTCTTTACCCCCGCACCTCTCCATCTTCCCTAACAAAAACGTTAGAAAACTCCGCAATCGCTTATCGCAACGAGCATTTCGTCGCAGACAAGCAGAATGTATCCGCGAGCTAAAGATCCGCGTGAACGCGGATCAGCGATCTGACAGTGAGCGTGTAGAAGCGCTTCAGAAGGAGAATAAAATGCTGAGGCAGCAGTTGATCGATGTGCAGACCAAGATGTCGAGGATGATGGCGTCGGTGCAGTTGTTGAGTGACTCCGTGGCTAAGACGCTTGATGATACTGCGAGTGGTGAAAGGGATGAGCGGCATCGAGACGGTGAGATAGACAGAGATGAACGGGCGAATGGGAAGACTGGAAATTATGAGCAGATTGTTGAAGAGTCTGCGTTGCAGTCGATTGATATGGATGCGTTCGATCCGTCGATTCTGGACTTTGATGCGCCGTTTTCATCATCCAGCGTGACTGGTGAGTATCAGGACTCATTTTATGTGCTCAAGCTAACAACGATTGATTGAAGCATCAACAGATAATGGTATCTCGTCAGAGCTTATCAACACTTCCGGGACAAGCCCGTTTTACTCTCAGATCCCAAATATCTGGAGTCATGAGTATCAAATGGGAATGCAGCCTTATCTAACCGCCATCAACGCAACAGCCGAGTCGAGTCTGGTCCTAGGGAAAGATTACTCTTTTACCAATTCGCCATTCTCGGATCACATTCAATTACTCCAGCGAATGCTCAAGAATAAGCTCAATACTCTTGGATTCGTTCCAGAAGGTCATAATCCTGTCCAGAGGTATACAGCCCCCTCGTAACATCTTAAAGCTTCCTAACATATCCAGTGTCTACCAACCAGTCCTCATGGTCTTGTCCATGTTCAACAGCATGACCCGTCCAGACGTAATGGCATGGTACGCCAAAACCCGCTTCTACCACATCATCGAACTCACCGCCTGGCAACTCTACCCGTCCTCCGCAACCTTCAACAAGCTCCATCCCCGATACCGGCCTACAACAGCACAGCTCGAGAACCCTCACCCCGGCATCATCGATTGGATTCCCTTTGCTACGATTCGCGATCGTTTAATCCAGCTACACTCTGCAAATCCCCACATCGACCAGATCTTCTGCGACGCTGTGACTGGCTACGTCGTTGAGGCGCTCATGTCGGATCTCGTCCTAGGTGCCCCGCAGATAACAGTCTACGTGCGTGTGACAGACCTCATCAACACCATGTCGTCCACAACATCTGAGAGCGAAAACACAATCGCCATGCTTCCCGCACCAGACATCTCAACGTTATTCTCATCGCCTGCGTATGCTCGCGCTGCGTTTAACAAATTAAACATGGACAAGGGCGCGGGCTACTACAAGATCGACCCCGCATTCTTCGAAAAGTATCCCGAGCTCTGGGACCAAGCCAGCGATGTCACAGCGACGGGAATGCCGCTGAAGCCAAAGTATCAAAAGATCCTCACGTACCCGAAACCGCTCGACTCCTCGACTGTGGAGACTTATCGAAGCTTCATCGATTTTTCTCTCGACGCCGCGAATACGATATCAATGTCCCCATGATCCCACCAACCGGGCCGGTTCTCGTTATCTTTAAACTCCTCACATGATGCGATAAACGTGTGAGGACGGCACTATTAGCGCAATTGGGCTTGGTAAAGTTTCGGGAAGCGTAATGGATTGTTGAGTAAACGACCCACCACGAGGGTTTGACTAACACGCCAGTTACTAACACCTTGATTCTGTGATTCATCTGTGGATCATCGAGTGGGGATGAAATCATCTATATAGAAATGCCAGAATTAGTAACTACAGCACCATCACAACCACCATTTCCAATTCATTCGTCAAAATGCCATCTCAGATACCAACCTCCATTCCTCGCTATAGTTTCATGGACGATTATAGCGAGGGTGCACATCCCGCTCTTCTCAAAGCGTTGATCGCCAGCAACACGACCCAAGAAACCGGCTACGGAGGCGACACGTACTGCGATCTTGCACGGCAGCGAATCCGTCGCCATCTCGGCCGCGACGACGTTGGCATATTCTTCGTACCGAGCGGGACATCAGCCAATGCCATCTCCATCGCCGCATGTCTCCGACCCCACGAAGCTGTCATCGCTGCTAGCTCCGGCCACATCGTGACGAGAGAGACAGGCGCGGTAGAAGCCAGCGGTCATAAAATCATCAACGTCACGCCACAGAATGGAAAGCTCACGCCTGCGACGATCGAGCGTGCGCTAGATGATAATTGGCATTTTCCTCACATGGCGAAACCTCGACTGGTGTATATATCCAACGCAACCGAGATCGGAACCATATACAATCGTGCCGAACTCGCAGCTATAAAGCAAGTCTGCGAAAAGAATAGTCTCATTCTCTTCCTCGACGGCGCTCGGATCGGCACCGCCCTCGCCTCAAAAGCAAACGACATGACCCTCTCCGACATCCTCGAACTCACAGACATATTCTGGATAGGCGGCACTAAAAACGGCGCCCTTCTCGGCGAAGCAGTGGTCGTAAAAGACGCCCGCCTCTCCTCCGAGTTCGAATTCTACGTCAAGCAGCACGGCTCCCTCCTCGCAAAAGGCCGTGTCATCGGCGCACAGTTCGCAGAGCTATTCGAAGACGATCTGTACTTTGAACTGGCGCGCAAGGCGAATCTGGCTGCTGAGTCGTTATCGAGCGGTATAGCACAGGGAGGATTTTCAGTATATGCTGCGACGGAGACAAATCAGGTTTTTGCGGTGCTGCCGTTAAGTTTGATCAAGGTGCTGAAGGAGAGTTTTAGTTTCTATGTTTGGGAGAAGTGTGGTGATGATGAGGCTGTTATTAGATTGCTTACAACATGGGCGACGGAGGGAGCACAGGTCGAGAGATTCGTGGAGATGGTGCATTCTTGGACTGGATAGAAGGAGTTTTGGAATGGAAAAAATAATGGATCCTAGTTTGTCATGTTTTTATGAGATTTTAATATAGACTACCAACTAATCAAATCATCACATCGTACTTACGTCCCAGAAGTTGAAGAAAGACAACAGTTTATGTCTACAACTTTGGTTTGCAAACAGCAATAAACGGCGAAATAACGCCTGCGAGAATTAGCAATGACACTGGCAGGCGACCATTCAACTTACTGCTCAGGAAAAGCCTTCCAGTCTTGGTATCATGCACAACCGTCGTAGCAGCCGGCAAAACCTCCCCCTTCGCATCCTCAAGCACTTTTTCAACAACATACTCCCCCTCAACCTTCCTAACTCTCAATACAGTACTAGGCGGATGAGCATTGTACGGATCATCGTACGCCTTGAAGATCTCAACGCCGATAGGAAACGCAGCGATCCAGATATCGCCATTCTCATCGATTGATGCATTATCAACACCATAGCCTAGATTAACTTCATCAATCTTTTCGAGGTCTCTGTTAGGAAGGATGCGGTAGATGTATAGACGACCTGTTATGGAGTCGGGGAGGTAGAGGATATTGTCTTTTATAACGAGACCGTTTGGGAATTGCAGATTGGGTGCAACGGTCTTGCAGGTTTGAGTATCGCAGAATGTCACGTCGGAGAAGCCTAAAATCATGGACAAATGATGCCGCTGGTTTGTTAGTACAAGCCATAAAATAGGCGTGAAAATAATTACCCAGCCGAATTTATGAGGACCGTGATCATTGCTGATGTAAAAAGACCCATCACCCAGTGCTGCAACACGGTTTGGAGTGGTAATTCCATGTTGAGCATATGTCCGAACATGCTTCATCTCCGTCGCTTGGGGACCGGTAACAAAGTGCTCGATAGTTGAGTTTCCACCATGAACATATTGATCTGCCAATTTCCCGTCTGCGTCAATCGCAGGTCGCAAGTTGACGAGGAATAAATCAATATCGCCATTTTCCTGTTCGACGCCTGAGAAACCAGCGAGGTTGACAAGTCCATCACCAGCAGTGCCTTCGAAACTGGGTGTTATTAGGGTACGGAACTCAAGGCCGTTATCAGTCGGCTTATCGATATCCAGCGCAACGATAGCGTCACGCTCTGATCGACCCGAAATATTGCGATACCCAAAACTACATGCACAATTAATCACAGTCTAATATAATTTGCTGAGAAGTCAACATAATTTGGTTGCCATTGTTTTCGCGCAATAGGATCTGAGCACGCGAGGAACAATTGGCGCGTAGATTGGGACAAGTACATGTCCTCGCAAGCCTCCAGCCGATGATGCACGATTTTACGGCATTGATAGGGGAATTCACTGAGGGGTTGGATGGTTCTGTTTATGCCGAAACCAAGCCATATTGCTTCTTTGAGATAGATCTGGAAGAAAATTGCCAGAATGGCGATGGTTGCGATGCTGGTTTTGATGAAGAGACTGGCCATCTTGAGGACGTTGGGTATGATGGAGGCAAAGAGAAAATGAAATAAAATTAGAATATGGTTCGATGAAGGATGCGCATCCTGGACAGTTCAGATAAATACGGCGGTCATGGTCGGATGAATGCAAGCCGACAGTTTTGGAGGAGTTGTTGGCGTGTTGGACTCGCATCTTCAACCCACCTTGATCAATTCATCCAATCCAAGTGCATCACATACAACTCACAAGAGGGTGTCCTAATCAGACGCTACATCACCAATTCAATCAAGGCAGTCATAAAAAGTCAATGTCGTATAAATACATCCAATCGATGTAAATATCCAATCTAAGAATAATACGCTTCTAGAAGCAGATACAAAATAAAAGGGGAAAATGTCATCCCATATCTACCATCGCAAAAAGTATCTACGCTTCACCAAATTAAATAAGTATTAAATGCCTCATCCATTATCTCCTTTTACAGAGCTGCGACAAAAGCGCCGACCATGAACGCCGCAAGCGCTGGGAAGTTCCACGCGCTCGCGCCGTTGACGATCGCAGGGCTGGTGCCCGTTGGCTCCGAGGGTGTTGAGTCGACGGGTGTGCCTGTTGGCTTGACGACGGTGGCGACGGTGTTGGGAGGTTGGGTGTAGACGTGAGTGGGCTTGTAGGTGTTAAGCTCCTCAAGAGGGTTACCGCCGGTAGGCTTGGAAGCGGTGCCCGTAGGCTCAGGGTAGTCCTGTGTGGCGTGGCCCTTGGTGGGTTGCTCATAGCCAGGCTTGGTGTAGTGGCCTGTGAAAGTACCGTTGTTGTGGTGGTTGGAACCAGGAGGTCCGCAGGTGGTGCAGTAGCCAGGAACAGGAGTGGGCTTGGGCGCCTTGACGACCGATGTGATGGTGACGGTGCGGTATCCCTTGGTGGTAGCCTCCTTGCAGCCAAAGTTTCCAAAGCCGCAGTGGATAGCCTCGGGGATGGTGTACACGCCAGTAGGCTGCTCGGGGTTGATGATCTGCGTGTTGTGCACAATCTCGGTGGTGACGTCGCCCTTGTTGCAGGAGCCGGAGCCGGGGCAGGATGTGATGGTGTACACGCGGGTTGATGTGAGGGTCGACTTGACGGGACCCTTGGTGGGCTGAGGAGCAACGCCTGTAGCCTCGGAGCCGGGGCAGTATGTTGTGAGAGAGGTGATGATCTCGGTGGTGACATGGCCGACAGGGCAGTCGGTGACGCTGGGAGGGCAGGCGGTGACCGTGTAGACCTTGCTGGTTGTGACGGTGGAAGTGATGGTTGTAGAGGGAGCGGAAGTAGTAGGGAGAACATAAGTGTTGTTAGATCCGCCAGTCGAGGTTGATCCGGGCTTAGAGGTTGTGAAAGTAGTGTTGGAGTAACGAGCAGTAGAGAAGGAAAGCGTAGTATCGGCGGTCGTCACAGCGGAAGAAACAGACTCGGTGACAGACTCAGACGCGGTCTCGGTGGAAGTGGGAGCTCCAGAAGTGGTGGTAGAGTCAGAGCCACACTCGCCAACCAAGTCAGGCACGGCATTGGGACCAGTACCGATAGCGACGAGGTTAGTACCGCAGTCCTCGTTGTTAGCGAGCCAGACATTCCTGTTATCCCAATCGTACACGACGTAGGCAGCGCGGAGGAAAGTGTCGCCGAGAACGGGGAACTCATCGTCCTGGAAAACACCGAGAACGCAGCGGTCGTCGTTATGCCAGATGAAGTCTGCGTAGGGGACCTTGATGACGGTGTTGCCGAACTTGAAGTCGACGGTGCCCTTGAGATCGGCGACGGAGCAGTCGACGTCGACGTAGGCGCCGGGGGTTCGCTGGGCGGTGGGGAACGCTGCGACGATCTTGTTGAAGATGGCGCCGGGGAGGGCGCTGACGGTGTATCCGCTGTCGAGGAGGACGGGTTGGCCGTTTGTCTGGGAGAAGACTGCATCTTCGGAGCCGTCGTCTTGGATGAGGCTGATGCCGTCGAGGTGAACCCAGTAACTGTGATTGTTAGACGGGCGCTCGTGTCGATTGAGCGCGGGGGAGCTTACCGGGTGAGACCATCGGGGGAGGACTCGGCGGGGATGATGGGGCGCTTCTCGAGGTGACCGGTGTATTTCTTGGTGTCGAGACCACCGAAGATAACGGCGCCGCGATCGCTATCGAGGGTGCGAATGTCGAGACTCAGTGCGCGACTCTTGATAAGGCCCTGTTTGACCATGCTGTCAATCACGAGGGGGTATGGCGCATCCCAACCGTTCAGATCAGGCGCAGCGCCCATGATGCCGACACTGGTGAAAGAACTATCGTATGCGACACCGAAAACCTGGTTACGAATATTCGCAGCTAATCCCGTCAGCAAAAAGATCATGTCTCAGCGAGGAATGCTGTCTCACATCCAACGACAACGTGGTCGTAGCCATAGTTCCAATACGCATACCCAGTGCCGTAGACAACACCGCCGGTGGTGTTAAGGTTAACATAAGTGCTACTCTCGCCAAAATGACCAAAAGATTCGCAAAACGCGGGCTGCTGCGCCTTTGAGCACACAGGGTTGACCCAGAGCTCTGCAGAGCCCGTGTCCAGATTGACGGTGACTTTCTGCCCCGGCGTACCGAGCTCAACGTCAATGCTGTAGAAGAAACCGTTCTGCTGGCTCTCAAGCGCGACTTCGTTCTGGCGCTTGGTGACGCCTTTTACAACGGGCGCGCCGGTGGAAACCTTGAGGGGAAAGCGAACTAGGCCATCTTCTACAGGAGCAGCAGCGGCGCGAGCCAACGCGGGGGCGGCGATGGCGAGGAAAAGAGCGGACAACATCTCACCAAATCAATTGAGACGTTTTTAATCGGGGTTAGAGAAATAAAAGGAAAAATGAACAGGGGAAGGGAATAAGATGGGAATTTGTTAACCCGGCGTAGTGAGTGACCGGGGAAACGAAACAATTATAACGAAAAAGAAGATGGGAATTGAAACTGAGGAAGAGAGGTTGGAAGAACTAAAAATGGAGATGGCGGGAATTTTTGCGTTGGTACTGTTTCTATATAAAACTACTGCAGATGCAACATGCAGAGCTAAGGGGCCTTGTCTTGGATGATCTGTGCCTGGCGCTAATCTCGAGGAGGGAGGGGGGCCTCGTGTAGCGCCAGGTCAGCGAAATAAATCACAAGCGGGTTCGTGAGATGACGTGGAAAACAAAAAAAAGAGGAGAAATAAACGAGACAAAGGATAAGAATATTAAATATCTTTGTGGGTAAGCATAAAGCGCCCTTTGTCAATCTTTCAGCTCAAGGGTTGTTTTTAACCTACAGAGGTGATAATTACGAGACTCCCTCATGCGCTGTTCCCTTATTAGGGGTCACGTCAGCTCCGCAGTGGGAGTTAGCGCCTTGCCATTATGAGATTAGCTATCCCCCCATGCACCGTCGTAACGCAAGTGAATACGGGGTTTTGTTATTTCCAGATCCCGCCGATCTTGAGTTGATGTCTGTTTTGAAACAGCGCACAAAAGGGCAAGCTAGCTCCCTGAATTAAACGCGTCCCGAGACATTGGCACCTCGGAGCCCGTGTTTGTCTTGACAGAGCAGATACAGGTTGGGAATTAACGGTACACGAATGATGCTGTACCCGCTGTGAGAAGAAAAAAAAACGGCGTGCAGCGCCACGTCGTCCTTTTCCCGTAAGCTTTGACGAAATGTCACCCTGTAGATGCAAGCCACAAATTGGATCTGGTGTGCGCCGTTGGTGCGGGAAAAGGTTGTCGTTGAAGGTTTGATTGAGATCAACGAGTTGGATGGAGGGAAATGAACGGGGCTGGATTGAAGGGTGTTACACCATTGTAAGCGCAGTTGTCAATTGACAGTTTTGGTGTAGAGGGATTGGTGATCTTGTGCTCGGCCGAGATGGTCGGGAGATGGCGGGGCGGTTAGGGACCTAACGATCCCGAGAGCGCTTTTAACATGAAACGGTAGAGCCGCATTAGCTTATGGGTATCTGTGAGGCTCGTAAGGCAATTCTCTGTACGGATTAGACAAACAGACAGACATCCTGTTAATTAAACCTAGACAAACATTAATCCCGTTGATCGTGGAGATGTTACAATTAAGGTGCTGAAGAGGACCTCAGGTTACATTGACTCAGTTGCAGCGGAATTGGTTCCTACTCACCTCAACCTCTCTGTATCACCCCAGCCATTGAAGCAATTCTGCATCAAGACATTATCCGACAAGATATTTTACGAGATACCAAACTTGCAACGTGAGAACCGAGACACAGAGGCTGGTTCAGTCAACTTTAATTGTCATGTGTCCGTGCTACCCTGCAGTTCTACCCGAGCCCATGCTGTGAAGCCTCAATGCGACGAGACACGTGTTGACCATGAGACCAACAATCTCCGACCCTCAACAAGACCAAGTAAAATGAAAGCGTATCAAGAAGCGAAAATACATTAGCTGTCTCGCATTCATCTTCCTCCAACCCACCACTGTCTGGGGAACTGCATGCCCCATTTTCGCATCAACACTTTCAACTCATCCTCCGTCCCTGGCACAACATTAATAAAAACCCTTCCACTATCTCCCTCACTCATACAAGGCTCTGAGTGTACTGCTCCATACTCCCTGCCAACTCTGAACACCGTGCATTCACCTATTCCTGCTGTCTCTGCGCCAAAAGGTTCAAGTACTGTTGCTAGTTCATCGCGCACAGCATCTGCTGCAGCTGCACAGCCAACACAGCGAATTGACACACACTCATGCTCTGTGCTCGCTGAGCCACGAGCCGCTTCTTGTGCTTTGCGCGCTGAAGGTTGATGTGATGCGGGTATGAAGAGCGTTGAGGGGCCGAAAAGGGTAGTGCAGATCTTCCAGTCCGTTCCAGTGTTTTTATGATGTTTTTGGTGCTGTGATTTAAGACCTAGTCGTGTTCCGGGGAGTACGTCTGTGGTGAAGAAGAGTTCATCTGTGTGCCATCTTGGTTGGTCAAACTCATGAGTAGGTGTCGTAGCGCGTATTGTAAGAAAGTAATCTTTGAACCCCTTGTCGACAAGAAGATTGTTGATATAGCCGAGAAAAGGAATGAGCTTGGAGCGAATAGAGTCTGTAAAGACTTGGGCCTCAAAGTCGTAGAAATTAACGGGTAATGATGGCCCTGGAGGGTCGAGGAGAGGTCCGCAGTAGCACCAATAGGCCGAGCGCTTGACGTTTATCGAGTCTTGGCATTCATCAGCATCGTCAAGGTACTTCAGAAACCTGAATTCTCTGTCAAATTCCGTATCTATGGTTGCCATGATCGCTGTATCAAGGGACCAGTGAGGAGAGAAATGATCAATGTCGGTTGAGCGGTCAAATGCATGTGAATCCTTCTCGTCGCTTACTGGTGACTAAGCAGGCATGAACCCGAAAGAGGCCTCATGGAGTGTTGGCTTGTGACATCAATCTGTACTCATAGACGAGACTGTAATCCAAGCGAAGAAGGCGCATATATTCGACGAGATATCTATCCGTAGGGTCCGTCAAACTGGAAAATACCCTGGATGAGTGGACTGAGAGGAAAAGTCACAATTCAAGCTCTTCTCAACGGACGTCTCAGTTCATTCTCATCACGAGGAAATGATTCAGCGGGCACCATTGACAGAAAACTTTGGGAGAGAGATGTAGGATTGAAAACTATCATTTCCCTACGTACCAAGCTGTCAAGCTCTGGTTCGTAACATGTCAAACTATCCTAGTCATATATCTAATTCATCAGTACCATCTCAACTCCACCGCGTTTGCAGCAGTTGCAAATATTTCCTACCGCCGACTCATTTGACCTGACAGAGATGACCATTGTCCTTCTGTGCCCAAGTTTCGCTCCCAACACAAGGAACGCACCATAGAACGTCGTCAGGATCAACATTTCTCTTGATCGATAGAAGTCTCTCGTAGTTCTTGCCCCAAAAGGCATGCTGCCAGTCTGGCTCGAAAGGCAGAGCCTAGTGCATGTTAAACAAGCATTCAATCTAGTAGTACAGAAAATCTTACCTCATTGATATAAGCACCTGTGTTGGGAGATAGTTTGCGGAATGGCTCCATGGATCTATTCAGCGTCTTGACGGCCTCAGCTTTAGAAGTCTTGTTGAAAGGCTCAAAGGCCTCTCCAGAAACTGATGGAATTGTTAGTAAGTTCCAAACTGACTCGTCAAGATCATTGAACTTACTCGCGTGAACATAACTCTTCCTCCATCCCGGGTTGACAGCTGCACTCCCTCCTCTGGGCTTCGCATCCCTCACACCCTTCCCAGCTATCAAATGAACTGTCAACCCCCCAGCAGCATCCAAACTCTCCTCCAACGCCCCCCTAAACTCCTTCCCATCACCTAGTGCCTCCTTACCCAACAATCTCGAAGCAAGATACAGCGTCACCCCCGCAGCACCCTGATCAAAGTAAACATCGTACCACTCCAAAAACGAGCCATACTCTTCCTTCGTAGCACTAAACTGTACAGCCCCCGGCCACCGCTTCTGGATAGTATCATTAATCGGCTTGAACAACTTGAGAATGTACTCTGGGTCGTTGACGTCCTGTGCCGCAAAGACACCTTGGATCCCGGCTACTTCGTCGGGCCCGCCGGCGGGGTTGGGTGTTTGGGGGCTGAGGTTTGTATAGCCTGAAAGACCGGCGTCGGATAAAGAGGGGAACTGGGAGAGGATGTAGGTGAGGAGATCGTATTTGAAGGGTGCGGCTGCGGACGTTCCGACTGTGAAGGCGGATGCGGTGATTTTGGGGGTTTTGTAGACTTTCATGGTGATGGATGTGAGGACGCCGAAAGTTGAACCGCCGCCCTATATTGTTAGTATGAATGACTAGCATGAATGGGTGGTATAAATGGGTAGTTAATTGGCAAGAGACTTACTCCTCGCATTGCCCAGAAGAGATCGGGATAGTTATCTTCATTGATGGTCAGGATCTTTCCAGATGGTGTAACCATCGTCATCTGGAGGACTTGGTCCACTGCAAGGCCATGCTTAGTTGATAGTAGAGAATGACCGCCGCCGGTGACATAGCCTCCGAGGCCGACAGTCTTTCCGCCCCCGCCAACAACTACGCGGCCATAATTATCCAGCATGGTGTAGAGATCATACATCTGGGTTCCTGCGCCGGCAGTGACAGCGTCGCCGGTGATGACAGTCTTGGACTTGTATAGCTTGAAGGAGCCTTCATGGTAGGTCATGTCTTTGAGATGGTGCGTCCAGAGGGAAAGCGAACCGGGGGCAATGGAGCGACCCATGTAGTCATGACCTGTGTTCTTGACGACGAGTCTGATGTTGTTCTTCCGCGCTATCGTTCATTAGCAAGAGCTCTTGTTGAATCATGAAGTACTTACCAAAGTCGACTCCAATCTTAATATCCTCCGCCTTAGTAACATTAACAACATAAGCAGGATATCCACTTCCGCTACATGGATAACTCTGGTCCGGAAGACACGTCCAGTTCGAATACTGATCATAAATAAGCGAGACAGGATCCTGCGTATGAAGATCATAATGCTTCCAGGCCTCAGCGATCTTAGGGCAAGTATCTTTGTCATAAGACGGCCAGCCCTTATGGCAAACAGCCCCAGGAGGAACAGGCGCAAAGAGTCTTCCGTCTAAAGTATCATTCAGACGAGACCAAGCTCTGTGAGAAGGCCAGTCTGAAGACCCAGGGTACGCCTTGCAAGTCTTGGGCACAGAGCCAGCAAGAACAGAAGGGAGAAGAAACACGATGAGATTATAGAGACGAGTCATTGTGAACTGCGATGCTTGGAACAGGAACAATATTTGAGGTAGTTGTCTCCAGGTTTATATAGGCAGAAATCCGAAATGGCCCCCATCTTGGCATCAAGAACACGGTCTAAACGAGGGATCATGTCCCGAGACTAAAACAGCATTTCTGCGGCGTCGACGTCAACGCGTATTAGTCGGGTTTCTGTAGCTCAGCCCTGCCAGGAGGGGTATTTTGTGGAGGTGGGCTTGAATGGGGGATCATGATGCGAGATACGGGGTGTTTTGTGGAGGGAGCCTCCGGTTGGTCCGTGGGCGGTTTGGTTCAAAGGATCGTTTGTGTTTTTGGCAAAGTCAGCACTCTTTAATATTGCATTGTCAGTGATTAATCAATCGAGACATTTCGCCGACGCTCTATTTTTCACCTACATATTCTTCACGATAATTATTCTAGCTGAGTAAGCCTTCGCAACATGCACATCGTAAATAGCTACCGCTCAATCAACTCCCGAAGTGCCGAGATCAAGGAAAAAACAACTCATTCCAACCCCTGTCCCCTCTCGCCATATCATCCCCAAACAAGCCTAACGCCATGCCCGTAATCAATGCTTAATCTCAATACAGTAAAGATCAGGGCCAATTCTCTCCCCCCAGACCCCTAATTGTACTGTACTCCCCCCGTTCTCCTCGCGTGGCTGTCGCAAAAGAAAATGCCTTCAATCACTCATTCCTCTTAATCCGTGCCGCCCTACGTCAGGCGTGTTCACTCCCTCAAAAAATGCTGCGGCTGTCGCTGCTCGTCCACTCCCTCATCTCTCTATCCTCCGCGCGCAAATCAGACGGCGGCACGGTTTGGGCGACGCCGCATGATAGTTACTCCTCGTCAATTGGCGTCCTCGGGTGCAAAGTACGCGACATTCATTACTCCATCACTTGCACCAACCAAGGCTAATATCGTCACCAGGTCAACACGAATCGCATCGCCTACTGGCCGTATTCCGTCGACTGCAACAACATCTGCATCGCGCTCACGTACCAAGACCGCACCGTGCACCTCCTCCGCGTCGATCAATCCCAAGGCGCCTACGACGTCAGCTACGATGCGTGGAATTACCTCTACACGGGCTACTCGGCCACCGACAAGCCCACGGCTGGCGGTCCCGTCGAGATGACATACTCCAACGTCGACGCTTCCAAGTGCTCTGATTTAATACACACGAAAAAGAGCAAGTTACCGCTTAGCGCAGCGAATAGCATGAACTTTCTAACGTCGTGCCTCGATCGGAACGAGAGTACCTGGGTCGGCGCTAATTACGTTCTTTACAACATCCTCGACTCGATATGTACGCTTGGACACGACGAGACGTGTGAGTTGGATTATCCGGCGGAGAACCAGGCCAAGTGTCCGCATACGATGGGCGTGCCGGATGAGTTGAAGGGCGAGGCGGTTGTTAATATTCGGTATCCTAGTGGTGAGAAGGTCAGCGCTGCTGATGGGAAGCCAGTGGATGAGGATGGCGCGACGGGTTTGAATACCCCGAGTGGAATGGTTTTGGCGATTATTGTTTTGCTTTCGGCGTGTCTTGTTCTTGGGATGTGATGCGCTGATTGATGTGATGCTGATGATGGTGGAGGATGATAATGTCAAGATACCCTAGTGTTTTGTTCTATACCCTTTCAATTGAGTAATCAATTCCGCGTTGTCAATAAATAACTCAAGATCAATTGATGTAACAATTTGGTATCAACGCCGACATAAGAAGGCATTCCCATCGTCAGGTACCTTGGTGGTGTCGCGACATTTATTTACCCAGATTCAGCGCCTCTTTAACCTTGCCCATCGCCGACTGCTGTTTTTGTTCTCCTCCCTCACTTGGTCCAACATCATCCTGACACAGCGCATCTTTTCCATGCATCTATAACTCATTAGTATATGCATTCATTCAATTACAGCGACATACCTTTTGCTCTTCCATCTCGGCCTGGTGCATGATATCGTGCACCTCCTCGGCCGTCTCATCATTAAGACCAGTCGGGGCCTTTGGGTGTGAAGGTCTTCTCTCTGGCATGATGTTTTTGTCTTGCTGTATTGTGATATGTTTTACAAGTCTCTTGGTGTTTAGTTCAAGTCTGAAGCGACAGTACAGTGCTGGGATGGCAGCTTCATATAACTCCAGCTCTCGTCTCGTGTCGTCATCCCTCCCATACCTTGGGATAAAATGATGCTGACCAACGTCATGTTGAACCATCGCGGGGTCGAAATGGTAACGTTGGACGACAATCTAGAGACCCCTCATCATCACAGTGTAAATGGCTCTGCGACAACATCTCATTCTGCCACAAGTCTCGTTATATGTATGTACACTTTTGAACCGCATACCGTGACTGGCAACCATCATCACGTTTGAGCATGTAAACGATTCGTCCCGATACGTTGAAATGCTTAGTTTCCGCACGATGACATCGCAAGATGTTTATGTTTGTCTTGTTGGTGTTCAGCTGCTCGTGTGCCATCGTGTGACCTTTGGGGGATTGGATGGAAGTGACGAACATGGTCTCGCCTCGGCAATTTCCATTACTTGAAAGCAAGCAAGTAAATATGATCTGATTGATTGGAATTTGTGAGGCATATGCTTCCATCTTGTGATATGACTCTGGGCCACAGCTTCTTGCATCCCATCACTCCCCTCTTTTCATTGGATCTTGGAGGTGCATCCATTTGGATTCGGACTCGGGGTCCAGGGCTTCAGGCATATCAACATATATAAGCATGTATCTGCGCCTAGAAAACGAATTAATATCCTCTGATTATTCATTTCATCTAACACTGTCAGTTGCGCAATCCATGGCGCAGCTTAAATAAGTGACTGAATGAGGTCCGCCGTTGATCTGCCGGGACAAAGGCAGCCTAACGCGACCTTGCGACTTGAACACCGGTGGGATCTACAGAGCTAAGGACTACCGATCTACCGGATTGAGAGGAAATTTCTGTTGACCAAGCTCTCATTGGAGCATAGTTTCAAGATGTTCAAGTTCTATCGGAGTTTGAGCTTTATCTCTGTCAGGAATACCGCTCATGCTCAGCTACCATGCATCTCAAATAACCTCGCTTACATATAAGTCAGTCACTCCTCAACACCAATATGGAGACACCAAAGGCATAAGAATTCTTCGCCTTACTCAGGTTTCGAATCGCAATTGTTTTCATCTTTCGCATGCGGCAGCTGGGTATCTTATCAGCGATAAGATAGCACCTCCACGACCTCCTTGGCAGATGACGCCAAGTTGCAAGATGACGACGATAATTAAGATGCACAGAACCCGAAATTATCAATACGAAAATCACAGCCATTGTTTCATTACCGAAACATCCAGCCTCACGGCTCCTGTAGATCCGATCTGAATACGCAAGAACCAATGAATCTCAGACCCCTAAGATTACACACTCCATCGTCAGCGAGGCAGTGCAAATCACCTACAAAAACTTTATCGCCAAGGGCCAAAAACACCAAGATTCCTCGTGCCGACTTAGCCGCCCAATCCGGCTCAACACTCTTGGCCAAGTGGACCCAGCTGACGTGTATTGGAGCGCCCCAAACGTGTCTCCTTTCACTATTCCTGCATCAAACAATTCTTTCACTTCTTTACACAGCCTGAATAGCGCTGTTGTACTCCGTAGTTTCTCTATCTGTTTCGTTTCTTGGTATGTTCCGTCGCGCAAGGGGTATTGCTTGACTAGACCGCGACGCCAGACGGGACAAGAACAGGGATCTCATAGGCTGGAAGATGCCGAGTATGGGGTTTGAGGATAAGACGACGTACAACGACAAGTATGTCGTTTTGTACGATTTCGGCGAGACGGGTGAGTTTTGAGCGATGGGGTGTGAGTATGAGATGATGCTGATTCTGGTAGATCATGATACGGCTATTAAAGAGTTCAAGACCCTAGTGGCGGATCTGGAAGAAACTGGCTTCGACGTTGAAGTCAGAGCGGGCTATGAACAGTCCCTTCTTGTATTCGCAAAAGCACCACGCGAACTCCTCGGCAACGCTGTCTACAAGTCCAGGCAAGTAAGCCCGACAACTCGGACAGGACTTTGTTAACAGAGACAGCAGGGTCAAGGACTGGCTATACGGCATCACGCCGAATCACCCTGGCGGTGATAAAACCACAGTCGTTGATGGAGCTTATGAGGCAGAGGATATCCTCTCGGTTTACCATATCGTGAATTGGTCCAAGGATCTTGGTGGTGCAGGCATCACCCCCGGAACAGGAAAATGGGAGAACGTCAAGGCGATATTTCCTATTCATAATTCCAAGGTCAATCAGTCTTTGCTCAAGTATCTGAGCAGAAAGTTTTTCTTATCCAACGAGGACATCGACCAGATTCGCAACCTCCACGGCTCAAAGGTACACCCTCTCACTCCCTTCTACGAATTTGTGCTTACAATGCCAGGTCGCTTTTTACTTTGCTTTCATCCAAGCTTATCTTCTCTTCCTCACCTTCCCCGCCGTAACAGGCGTCATTGCATGGCTCTGGCTTCCACGGTACTCCCTCGCCTATGGCATTCTCACCAGCGTGTGGTGCACCGTGTTCCTCGAGTACTGGAAGATTCAGGAGATTGACCTCAGTCTGCGCTGGAACGTCAAGGGTATTCAGCATGTCAAGGTTAACAGACCGCAGTTCAAGTATGACTATGAGTATGTTGACGAAGGCGGGCGGAAGCATTACTACTTTCCTAGGTGGAAGAAGGTCGTGAGGCAATTATTGCAGATTCCGTTCTTGATAGTGGCGTTTTTGGCGCTGGGGATTACGATTATTGCGGTGTTTACTATTGAGATTTTGATCTCGGAGACGTATGCCGGGCCGTATAAGGATTACTTGGTAGGTCACTATTCTCACTTGCAAACTTGTAGATTGTCTAACATGAGCAGGAATATCTTCCGACAATTCTCCTAGCTGTATCTCTCCCTTACATCACCTCCGCCCTCGAAGACGCAGCCGAATGGATGACCGAATTCG